AAAATTATTTGGCCTTACTAAATTTACTCCTGTGAGTATTTTGATTTTTGGTTAACTCAAAAGAACGTGAAGAGGATCGATCTTACATGGTGCGTGAGAACTGAGAAGGGGACTTATTTTGTATAAAGTATTTTTTTGCCTAATTGATTTGCCTTTCTCTTTAAAAATAATCTTGACTGTTTATCCCAGATACTATTTGTATTCTGTTTCTAGTTTCAAAATGCCAGGTTCTCTGAAACCTTTCTCAGATGCGTTGTTGGAACCTGAGCTGGAGTTGCCACTGCCCTGCAGCCTTCTGTGCTGTGGAGCGGTCGGAGGGCAGCCCCGCGGCAGCCCCGCTGCAGCCCCGCACAGGCGCGCTGTTGTCCTGCGCTCAAGGGCAGGGCGCGGGCCGGGGCCCAGAGGTGCTCCGTGCGGTCAGTCTGGACTATCTTTAGACTCCACCTGAGGGCTGGCGCCGTGTCACACTGGTCATCTTGCTTTGCAGAGCCTCGTCTGTCTTGGCGTGGCCAGTGCGTTGTACACACCTGTCCCCCGAGTCCCTGCGGCTTCCCCTCCTAGCGTCTTCTGGGAGCCTGGAGACCCGCTCTCTTTTCTTCCCCTCCCTCCCCAGAGACCCTGGGGCTCTACAGCAGTCTCTGGGAAGGGGCTGCTGGCGCGCCCCTGGACCATATCTGCGCGGCTTCTCTCGGCCGGATGATCTGAGCGGCTGACCCGGTGCGTGGGAGAAAATGAGCTGCTTTGCTGGCCCCCGCCTTCATCTGAGGCAGTGGCCCAGCTGAGGCTGGTGCTGCCCTCCTGTTGTCCAGTGAGGATCCCGGCCTTCTGTCCCTGCTGCCGCTGCTTCTAGGAACGCCGTTCCAAGTGGTGTTTTCAGTTCAAGATACAGCACTGGCTGCACCTTTCCCTGAGCGAGGGGAGCATCCGGGGGGGTGCGCTACCCTGCTGTCTTCTCAGAACGAGCTCCTGCCTTTGCTTGTGACGTGCCCTGAACTCCCTTGTGCCCCCGCCTTTTCTTTTGCTGGTAAGAACAGTTCCACCTACACCCCTGGCAGTGGCCTGTGCCTGGCCAGTCCAGCATGGACCGTGACATACCTGTGCACCACAGTGGCCCACTCCGTCCGGTCTCATCCCCCGCAGGTGCTGTGGTGGCGTGTGGACTATTAGACGGGCAGGATAATGTGCAGTGACGTGGTTGTGCACACACTCCCCAGCACTACCTCCATCTGAACCAGGCAGAACGTCATTCCATCGCTGAATCTCTATAAACCAGACAGGTGCAATTTCTGCCTACCAGTTTCTGTTTGTCACAGCTGTTCTCCTGAAAAGTCTGGAAAAATTACAAGATGTCCTTTCAGATTGCTGGTTTGAAGTTTAGCTTTTCAGACTAATCCAGCACAGGCTGACGACCAGACTCAGGCACAGTGCGCGCTGGTCATGACTAGCAGCAGCCATCAGCTGATCACAGTCGCTGCATCCTCTACCTGGAGCTCTGGGTGCAGGAGGCAAGTTTGCTGGAGGTGTTGGCCTTGATCTGTGTCTTGATGTGGAAATCGAAGGCTTCTGTGCTCTTGTCGCTCAGATCTGTGGTGATGAGAGAGGTGGGTGCCCACAGGCTCTGCGAGCCTCCTTCCCACACCAGCCAGAGCTTTTCTGTTTATGGTGTATCTGCCCAAACGCCTCCCTGCATTCTCTGTGCAAACTGCTTCGTGTCCTGTCCCATACAGACGCTACCACCGTCTCTGGGGACAGCAGAGAAGTCGCTGACTGGCGCGGAATGCGGGTGCTGGAGCACCAGTGTCCACATCTGGCCAGCGCGGGCTGTGAATGCAGCGGCGCTGGGGCAGCAGCTGCAGAGGAGCTGGGCCTCTGGTGGATTCCCTACAAGAAGCTCGTGGAGCTCAAGCCTCCAGATGTGTGGGAGCGCTTAAACACAGGGTTCCGCACCTTTCAGACCGCTAGCAGCATGTGGGGGTATTCTCATTGCTCTCTCGAGGCTCCCTGGGCACGGTCTTTTATTTCCTACCTGGAGGCATGAGTAGCCCACGGTTTCCAGCACTCTCTGGAGTCCGGGCCAGACCTGCTGTTGGGGCTGAGAAACCTGAGAGCAGGTGAGCTGGGGGAGCGCACCCTGGTGGCGCAGGGGATCCCCAGGAGGGGTCTTCTCTGCAGTGTGGGGGTCCAGCTTGGGCTTCACTTCCTGCTTCAACCCACACACTTTGCCAAGGAAACGCGCATGCCAATTTGACGAATTCTAAAAATCTTAAACCTGGCCTCAGGCAGTTGTTGAGTTGAAGAGCAAACTAGACAAGATAGTTGCTTTCCAGGGAGAAAGTAGCATCTGTTTCCGGTGACAGTTTCTTGCCATGAAGCTTCGTGTCTGTTCGCTTCTGCCGTCATCACAGGTGAGCGGGGACCTTAGTCCTGAATATTATGGCCATGGATGGGTTTGTCCATGCTGGGCCAGTTTTGGAGAGTATTGCAGGGGGTGGCTAGAAAAGGGGCCTGTGAAGTGGAGAAGAGGCCTCTTCCCAGGCCGCTGCCCCGGGAGGTGACATGATCATGCGTGACCATCATCCAGGTAGCGATGGCTGCTTGTTCGGGGACATCCAGGCAGCGGCCCTGCAGTCAGATTTCCCTCTGTGATGGAGCCGGGCCGTCCCAGGTCCCTCCTGGTTCAGGGGTGCTGCTCCCCCTGGGTTTCAGAATAGTTACTGGTAGGGAAAATTGAGGCCCTTGCTACCATTGGGGAAAGTCGGCCTTCGGATGTTTTTTTGACTCATGAGCTGTAGAAGGAATGAGAAGCCTATGAGGCTTTGGAGATTAGCCCATGAGACAGTTTTTAGCACACAAGCAACCGTTTCAGCCCCTGCTGTCTCCATGCCCTGCCACGCTTGGTGCGTGCGCAGGCCTGAGGTTACTAGATGCCATATCACCAGGGTATGATCATGAGCATAGTTGCTTCTGGGATTGAAAAGGCCGCTGAATTCAGCAAGTGACTCCAAAATGCTTTGTATTTTTCCAATAAGTAAAAGTGTGATTAATACCACAGTGTGGTGGTGCAAGGGGTTAAGACATAATCTATGAAGCTGTCTGCAGCCACTGCAGCACGAATTTGATCCCTGGCCAGGGAGCTACCCCACATGGGGCCAGCCAGGGAGCAACCCACATGGCACAGCAGACCTCTCCTGTCTCCCCGCTGCTCCCCTCAGCAGTGTGTTTCAGTCAGTCTGCCTGTTCTGTCATCCGCTCTGTCTCTGGTGAGTCCTCTCACCACCCAGGCCTCTGGCCTATACCCCAGCTCTTGTGTGCATAAATACGTAACTCTTAAAAAAAAAAAAAAAATACCACAGTGTGACCTAACTGTTAGGAGCAGGAATTCAGAAGGTAGTAAATAGGTGAGCAAAGTGTGAGCCATAAGCCCCAAGTTGAATTTGAGTTCCTAAGACTCAGATACACTCCAGAAGAGTCTTCCCACATAAGACAAACTCCTATTAGCATGCTCTGAGCCGGGCCTGTGGGACCTCCTCCAGCCCCTTCTCAGAGACCGCATGACCATGTGCCCTTGGTGGATGGCTCGACCTTGTCCCTCACACCAGACTGGGCCAGCACCAGGGAGGCCTTGACACCGTGGTTCGTTCTGCTGTGCAGGATTGTAGCTGTTTTCAACATTGTAGGCACAGAAAGACAAAATGTCCTTTTCTTCCTGGTGGGGTAGCTGTTTTGTTTTTGTCTTTTTTTTTTTTTTCCCTCAGTGTTACTTGATGGGAATTGAATTGAACGCTGGTGGATAACACCTGGTGGATAACACCTGGTGGATAACATCTTAGTGCAGCTTGGTTGGCATATCCACGTGCTCCTGGGTTTTCTGCGTCGCCCTCGGTGGACTGGCAGGCTCGCTGCTCCAGGGCCAGGGGCTCTGCTGTCCGTCCTGCCCACCTTCCCAGTGGGTCGAGGCTCTGACCCGCTGAGCTGCCTTCCCGTGCCACTATGTCGGGAGAACGGGCTTGGGGTTGGTTTGTGATCGTGCCGGCTCACAGCACACCTTGGCCCCTGAGGCCAGAGTAACTTGTGGACTTCTAATTTGGAAACTGCTTTATTCAGAAAACTTCTCCCCCCACCCCCACATACAAGGGGTCGAAACACCATCATCAGCGAGCACGAGGGACAAGCCAGGCAGCTGTCGGCCGCTGGCTTCTGCTCAGTCTGTGGAGCAGGGTCGCTCCAGACACTGGCGTGACTTAGAGTGGCCCGTGCACCCTCCACCTCGAGGCGAGGGCCTTCCTGCGCACGCTCGCACCCCTCCCTCCTGCAGCGCTCAGCCAGTCGGGGTGCCAGCTTTTCTTTTTTATCCCAGCCTGTCGTGGTAGGAATCGTCTCTCTTCTCAAGACTATAGCTCATGGTTTTAGTTAAAATTAAAATGTAAACCTCACTTAATCCCAGTTGTTAGGAGTGATGCTTCATATTTAGAGACAAGACTAGCATAATCATGAGCAGCTCGTTTGCGTCACGATGGGGAGGGGGCGTGGGGGAGCCGGGCACACTGCTCTTGCTTCCGGGGGCCTTGCTCAGCCATGGAGGGACCTGCGGGCCTTGCTGGCCAGGGCCCTGGCCCCACGGGGGTTACCGTAGGCAGGGGCAGCTAAGTTTCTAGGTCACGGACAAAGATTGCATGGAAGTGGGTGTCTCACCAAGTCCCAGAGCCCCAGGGCTGCAGGATGGCAGCATCCGTTTCCTACGGGACACTCCGGCAAGTTGATCGCCGCTGATGACGTGTCGCCCAGGCGCTGCCAGTTCAGAAGCCCGCGGAGGGGCCTGCGGGCTGGCTTCTGAAGTCCGCTTCCGTCTGGTCAACCCAATGCCCAATTCAGTGTCACCCTGAGTGCTGGCCACCTTCTCACTTCTCCTGGGCCCCTGCCCCAGGTGGGGTGAGCGCCCCGATGCTGTGACAGTAACCTGCTGTGCTTAACCGGTTTTAACTCTTCTCCCCACCCTGCAGGACGAGTCCCACCCCGCCACTCCGGACGGGCACGTGCCCTCCTCTACCACCACCAGCGCCTTCACCATCCAGGAGTACTTTGCCCAGCGGATGGCAGAGCTCAAGAGCAAGGCCCAGGGCTCGGCTGCGGGGCCCAGCCCTTCGGAGACCCAACTGGGAAGGAAAAAGGCCAAGAAAAGAAAGAAAACAGATGAAAACGTGGAGACGCACACCCATCCCCAGGCCAAGGTGAAGAAGAAGAGGGAGCAGGTGGAGTCTCCGCCCGGAGACCCTCGTGAGGCCGACAGTGCAGAAGCTGCTGCTGCGGCCGGAGACGACGGGGCGTGGCCAGCTGAGGACCAGGACTTGCCTCAGAAGCCCAGGAACAGGAGAGGGAAGACACCGCTCCACAGGCAAGCCCAGGCAGCGGTGGAGGCGCCCCTGGAGGAAACCCTGGTGAAAAAGAAGAAGAAAAAGAAGAAAGGTGCTAAATAACTCCCTCCTCTGGGGGGGCTGCCCTTCCCCGTGGGCTGTCGGGCGCCCTGAGGCCAAACCCCTGGCCTGAAGTCAGAGCCTGCCCCGGGGGGAGCGGGCAGGGCCTCCTTCAACCTGCCCTGGGCCTGGGGCTCACCCTCCTCTTCCCAAACCATATTTCCAGGAGAACTTTTTAATGTTCCCAACCTTGGGTCGTCAGCAAATAAATTCCTCCCGAGGCTCTGCCCTCCCCTGTGTGTGTCCTTCCCTGTCACGCACAGCAGCTGGCGCTGGAAGCGCCGTCCGCACGGTCCCGAGTCCCCTCAGTGACGGCGGCTGAGCTTCCTTCTCAAGGGCTTAGTCTAATTAAAGGATTAGGAGGCAATAGTTTGGATTCAGATAGTTCTTTTTGTTCTAGAGCCAGCCAGCCATTTTTTGCCAAGTAGGTATTACATGATTCCATTCCCGACCAGAGCGCTGTTCGGGCCCCTTTGGCTGGCGTGGGGAAGTCGCTCCAAGGCCCTTTCGCCCACTGGGCGGTGGCAGCCGCGCGCTGGCGCTCTGCGGTCTCCCCACACGGCAGCGTTCAGGAGGAGGGCTGCGGGCTGCCTGGGTGGGGAGCCTCCCCGGGGGCCCTGGCTCCGGCAGTCACAAGTCCTTCCACTTGGGGGTGCTTGAGGAGCATCCTGTGGAGCGGACCCCTCATTTCTCACAACACGGAGGTCTGCGGAGGCTCAGAAAGCCGGGTCTAAGGTCACGAATTCATTCACCTGGAAAGGAAAAGATAACCCGCAGTGTCCGTCCCTGCGGAGTCACCAGGCCTTGCCTTCTCCCCTCCCGGGCGGCCCCCGGCCTGCGTCCACGCTGGTTTCTGTGGTTGCGTATGTACCACGGAGCCACCCAGACGGGTCTCTTTGGTCTCACGTCCCGCTCGGTGACTGTTTGGTTGCCTCCATGTGGCCGCATGTGTCGATCATATTTGAACACGCAGATTGTTCCTCTCGGGGGCACCACAGATGAAGTGCCTGCGGGGAGTTGTGAGCAGGACTGTCCCCTGGGCCCGTGCAAGCTCCCGGGGCACAGGCCTGCATGACTCGTCCCGATGCCCCAGCCCCGCTCGGAGCAGGCGGCGGCCCCTCGCGTTTGCTCTGCCTCCTGCCACGCCCTGGCGTGGGTCCCGAGTTGCTGGTGAAACTCTCTGGGTTTGCCCAGGTGACTTCAGACCCCCTCACACCCTGCGCGGGGCGCCGCGATGAGGAAACGGCTGCGGACTTAGCCATCGGCCCGCGTCTCTCCTCCTGCCCCGCTCTGCCTTCCTAGTCCCGGCCTCTTCCTCCTCCTCCGCCTTCCACGCCCTGTTCCCTCTGCCTGGCTGCCCCCCTCCGTCCCGTGCGCCTTCCCCTCGCAGGTTGGCCGCCCTTTGTCCTGCTGCTGCTGGTGTCGGAGCAGCAGGGCCGAGGCAGCAGCTGGGCCTTTCCGGGCTGGGCCTGCCGCTTGGCCCTGGGTGACAGCCGCCGAGACAGACGCTGATCCTGCGCCTGTGCCCCGGTGCAGCTGGGGCCCGGGGTCTTAGAGTTGAAAAACAGTTTCACGAATCTCTGGTTTTATAGTTGCGTGCGTGCACACCCCACGGGAGAGCCTCCCGGTGTCACAGCGCTGGCTTCACGGCCCCAGAGTTCAGAACCCAGACCAGGCCCAGTCTAGGAAGGCACCGAGGAGGGTCAGAGCCCCTTGTCTTCACAGCGGGCACAGGCCAGGTTACCTCTGCCTGTCCTGTCTTGTATGTGAAGCTGGAGTTCCAGAAAGGAAAGGGGGATGGTGCCATTTAACGAGGGGGGTGTGTGTGTGTGGTGTGTGTGTGTGTGGACTGCCTGTTTATTAAACTTCGTTTACAGTAGAAGTAAGAGCCCGGCGTGCACGTGGAGTTGGGAGCCGGAGGAGACCGGTGTTTCCAGAGCAGCTGAGGTGACGCTGAGTGCGGCGGGGTGAGGGGCTGGGGAGGCAGTGCAGGCAGGAGCTGGGGGAGCTGAGGTGCTTGGAGGGGGAGGGGAGCGTGCCCGAGCGTGCCCTCAGCTGCGCGGTGTGGCCGTGGCTCCCGCGGGCCGCAGAACGAAGCCCCGAGTGGGTCGTTCACGTAAATGGCCCGCTCGGCCGAGCACAGCGAGGCCACTTGCTTCGAAGGAAGCGGACACTTCCCTCCAGAAGGACGCAGAGACCCTGCACTGCTCGCGGGTGTCTCACTTCAGGCTGCTTAGCCTTCTGCACCTCTGGAAGTTGAACAACGGGATGGTTCCGAGCCGTGCCTGTCATCGGCGTGATGCCATTTGGATGGTTAACGCACGACCCCTGCGTTTTTCCTGAAGTTTCACTCAACCAGGAGGTGCGCGCCCTGGCTCACTGCTCTCCCGGCGCCCCCGCTTTCAGAGGGGCCGTGGCTCCAGGCAGCGCTGCCCCAGGAAGAGGCTCTGGCGCTCCTCGGTGCTGAGCAGGTGACCCCAGCGTGGTGGGCCCGGTGCCTGCCCCGTCCCAGGCGTCCCAGGCGCTTCGCCGCCACCCGCTCGTGGCCCCCCTGAGCGAGGCTGCCCCGTCGCCGACCCCCTTCACAGAGGCGCTTCCCCAGGGGCCGCTTTCATACCCCTCAGCCCGCTCACAGGTCCCTGCCCCTTCTCGGCCCTCGCCCTTCCCACGTCCTCCTCTGTCCGGCTCAGTGGAATTTTCTGTTGCTGAAGCTCTTACTCGTGTCTGCTTTCCAGCGAGAAGCTGCTTGAAAGCAGCTGGTTTACGATAGAAGGACGAGCCCGGCGTGTACATGGGGTTGGGAGCGGGAGGAGGAAGCGGATGTGACGCTGAGGGCGGCGGGGTGAGGGGCTGGGGAGGCGGCGCAGGCCTTCAAGAAGCTTATGGGCACTCAAGTTCCTCTTATTGACCCAAGCTGCAGAGCATACTTTGGGGTGCCTGCATGTGGGAAGTTCTGTGGGTTTCCCATAACAACTTGGTCAAGAGGTTGCTGGGAAATTGGGTCGGTAACTCAGCTGCTTCAAGCCACCAAGGTAAAGGAATTTCTTCTCATCGGTGGAAAATGCTGCCAGTCCTGAGAGCCGGCCGCAGCCCCTCTGCTTCCCGCCTTCACCTGTTGGCCTACTTGGCAGGAGCGAGCCGGGGCCTGTTCTTAGAAACAGCTTCCGAGCAACTTCAGCAGCCTGGGCCCCTGGACCAGCCCGCAGCAGCGGCGTCCAGGTCGGAGGCAGAGCCAGCCCACGTCACCTGATCATCTGCCGCCGCTGCGGGCGCAGCCTGTCGTGCCGCGAGGCCCAGGGCACTCGACCGCGCTCCCCGTTAGTGGGCAGGGTGGCATCGGCCCCTGATAAGGGGATACGAGGCTCCTTGCAAAGAAGGGTGCTTGCTGCCAGCTGGGGAGCTCCGGCACGCGCAGGGGACACCGCAGAGCCCGTGGCAGGGGGCGGGTGTGAGGCGGCAGGCGGAGGCTGGGGGCGGTTGCGCTTGGGTTGCCCAAGTGCCCCCCAGGGATGCGTGGGCCGGTGCCACCAGCACGCCCAGTTCTCCTCCCCCCGGAGCTGAGCGTCTGCGTCAGCGGGAGCAGCGGACTCCAGGAAAACCGAATTCTTTAACAGCAAAGAATTTTGTAATTAGCTAGATCTCGAATGTTCTGTTTGTAGTTCCTCTGTGGAGGGTCCCTGGGGAAAGGTGCCCGGGCGCTGGAAAGCCGCCACTCGTCCTGAAAACCGCTACTGAGCCCCACTTGGGACGAAGGCCTGGCCCCTTCAGGGTGGAGTAACATCCGCCCAGGGGCCGCCCCCTCGGGGTCCCCCAGCCTGTCCTCTAGTGGCCACCGTGTCCCGGAGCGCTGGGGGGATGCAGGCCGGCCTGGCCTCTCCCGGCTCCCGCCTGGCAGCATCTGGCCAAATGGAGGGAAGTAGTGTCTCCCACCTGCTGAGTCTCCCTCCCAGAGCTCACGGGCCTCCTTCCCCTCCCCACCCCCCCAGTCAGGCCCACCTCCACTGCGGGGCCGGCCCCCGCTGCCGCAGGTCACCAGCTCGCCAGGCAGTGCTGCTTCCGGGGCCATTGCACCCGCTGCCCCGTCCCCACCCGCTGTCCATCTGGCTCTGGCCACGACCTGGCTCCTCTTTGCTCCCTCCGCTGCCTCCCCGTCATCCCAGCTTCCCCAGCCCTCCGCCCCCAGGCTCGAGGCCCTCTCTCCCTCCGCGGGATTGCCACGGAGCTCTCGACTCCCCCCTAGTCTGCCCGGAGGAGCGGGGGCCTCTGAGGGACGGTCGTCCTCCCGGAGTGCCCTGGACAGCACCTGGCGTGGAGCAGTGCAGGGCAGCGCGGCGAGTGAAGCACCAGCCGGGACTGCGGGGTGCCCCGGGCCCCACTAGGGCTCCTGGGCATTCCCAACCCTGTAACTAGCCCCTACACAAGAGCTTGATTAGGGACGTCTCCCGAGGGCATTTGTGACGGTCACCTGGCCGCTGGCATCTCAGGCGACAACCTCCCAGGACCCTATTCGCCATCTCCCTCTTCACAGAGGCGTGACAAGACAAGCATGAAGGGAAAACACGCGACCGCTCCGCACACTCCACGCGCAGGAGGGGAATGTGAAGAGAGGGCCCTGCCAAGAGCCGGCGGGGCCAGAGGAAGGTGCGTGTGCCCGGATGAAAAGCTCAGGCAGCTCTCCCGCGCCCCCGCCACCCCTGCCCCTGCACCACCTCTTACGTGCTGCCCGGCTACACGCCCACCTGACTGACAGGCTGGGGATGAGACACCCTAAGGTGTGGCCAGGTCATCCTGAAGACACCCGAGTCCCAGGAAGGCTTAAGGCACCCGCTGGGGCGGGCGGGGCTGGCACCCTGACTCAAGGCTTCTCAGGTGACGGGCCTCGGGATCCTGCCCGCCCTGGGACTCTGCAGCCGGCCAGCAAGCTGTCGCAATGCGGCCTGAAGGGATTGCCAAACCCTGCGTGCGGGCAAGGCCCTGCCAGCCCGAGACGAACAGGGGACACGGGCCGTGCGCCCGGAGCAGAGGGAATGAGTGTGGCCTGGGCGCGAGGCAGGGGCTGCCTGGGGGGTGGGGGGGTGCCTGCCGGAGGCGCCTCCTGCAGAGCTGAGCTGCTGAGCACGTCCATGGGGCAGGACCGGGGCCAAGTCCCCGGGTCATGGAGTGACAGAGCAGCTCTAGCAGCCGCCACCCCTTTTTGGCCCTGGAGAGGCTGCGAGTGTTGTGCTGGGAGCTTGTTCTTAGGAACTGAGCTGCTGCTTTCTGCTCAGTGCGTGACGCGGTCAGGTTGGGTGCCAGGCGCTGACAGCTGCTGCGTCGTTCACAAGCCGAGGACTGGCCCTCCGGGTCGTCAGAACGGTGGCTGAGGCCTGCGCTGGGGGTCAGGAGTA